CACGACGACGATGAGCGACGAGCGACGAGCTACGAGCGACGAGGAAAGACAACGACGACGGCGACAGCGACGACGGCAACAAACCAAACCCCCATGCGGATCCCTATGCGGACGCCTATGCGGATCACGATGCGCACGACGGCAGTGCCCGGGGCGCTGGGTGGGGGCGTTACGTTATAGGGGGGAGGGGTCAGGGGATATGACGCCCGTTCTGTCCTAAGCAATAAGGACACTCTCTTGGGCTTCGCCAGGCCGCGGGCCCGACTTCGCCTCTCCTGCCAGGGGCGGTCTTTCTCGGCGCGCTTGTGCGAAGCCCATCCCAAAAAACAAAGCGACGCTGACGTCGCCGCCGAGTGTCCACAGAGGTCGTCGAACGTCGAACGTCGTCGACCGTCGTCCGCCGTCGACCCTCGTCGTCGAGCGTCGTGGAACGTCGTGGAACGTCGTCGAACGTCGACGTCGTCGAACATTGTGGAACGTCGAACGTCGTCGAACGTCGAACGTCCCCAGAGGTCGTCGACCGTCGTCCGCCATCGACCCTGCATGGAGGACTCGATCCCGCCATCGACCATGCATGGATGACTCGATCGGGGAACAAAAGAGCAACATGAACATACAGACTCAGAGGTCCGCGCGGATTCCTCGCATCGAGGCTGGGGTCCCCTGACGGCGCCTCTGGCGCTGCCACTGGCGCGCTCTGCGTGCCAGATAGAGAGGGGGTCCAGCGGCGATCCGAGAAGTCCGCGCGATTCCCCGACTCGAACCCCTTCCACGGGGGCCGGTTCGTGCGACCGGGGTTCATTCGTGACGGCCCCCAAATCCTGAAAACGGCCCCGGCAGGGCAAGATTGGGGGTGACAACTCAGCGACAGCGGTGACCGTGACCAAGACTGGACGCGGAAACGTCGGTGTCGGTCTTGTTCACCGTCCATCTTGGTCACCGTCAATTCGTGGATCACCATCGCGAGTCGGCGACGGCTGGCATGGGCCAGGACCACTGGCGTCGACAAGGCCCCGCGACATCTTGGTCATCTTGCCATCGCTCGGACGTCCATTCCCCGCGCATTTTTCGGTTTCACGCGTGCTATTTTGGCCAGGTGATCCAGGATGCTCCTCGATGGTGTGCTCTCGTAGAGAAAAACTGCACGTGCCCGATCGGGTGCGAGCGCCGACGCTAGGGCCCCCGCTGGGGCTCACCGCACTTGGCTGCAGACGCCCCTCAGAGTTCTGACCCCCCCCCCGCCACGACCGCGAGGGCGCGAGGCCGGCCACGCGCGGCGCGCGCCAGTCGGCGGGGCGCACTGCGCCGGAGTCGGGTGGCCCGGCCACGCCTCCTCGTCCCCTCGCTGCTCGCCGCCTCCCTCTCCCACCCGGGGGGCGGTCCTCGGCCTTGGTGTTCTGGCGCGGGATGCGCTTGCCGCCGCTCCCCATGGCCCCCATCATGCCGCCGCTGTCCTCGAGAAGGGGGCGTAGAGGGGGAGGCCTCGCCTCCCTCGCTCGCCCTCCACCTCGCGCGCTCGCTCGACCCTGCCAGTGCTCGGATGTGCATTCCCCGTGCTTCTGCCGGTGTCGTGCGTGCATGTGTCGCCCAAATGATCCAGGAGATGTCTGCTCGAGGGTCCTCGCCAGGTCGACACGGCTGTACAAGAGGCACGTGCCAGGCGGCAAATAGAGAGAAGAGGGGGCACACACAGAGCTGGCAGGAGAAGGCATCAAATCATCGAGGGAGCAGGCTCGCCATCAGCCCGTGGACGCGAGGGGCCAGGGAACACGTCTGGGCCCCGGCCCCGCAGAAGAGTGTCCTCCGACTCCTCCCACCCGGAGCTCCGGGCGTCGCAAGCAATTTGTTCCATGCCGCGTGACGTCGTGCGGTCAGTCGAGCTCTGGGGCCCTCTCGGGGCTTTCTCGAGACATGCTGCGAGTGTGCCGGGGTCTGGGGCTGTGGTCGTGATTCCTCGCGGTGGTGAAAGTTCTTCGCAGCGTCCAATCTCAACGTTTTCCTCTTCCGCGTCCCTCTCCTCCCCCTCCCTCTTTCGCGGACCCCCCACCCCACCTTCCTCATACCTCATACCCTCCCCCTCCCTCCCCTCCCCCCCTCCCCTCCCTCCTTCTGCTTTGGGGGGAGGGAGGACGCACGCGACGGAGGAGGAGGAGGAGGAGGAGGAGGAGGAGGAGGAGGAGGAGGAGGAGGAGGAGGAGGATAAGGAGGACGACTACTGTCGCGCAGCACTGTATAGACAGACGGTGCGAAGTCTTGCCATGAGGCCCCCAATGGCACACGCGTCGTCGATCCTCGAACTTCCCGACGTGTCCCAGGGCTTCTGTGGGCCGCCAGAGCTCGGAGGATGACGACGACTTTGCTCGCAGGCACCTGCTGGCAGGCTGGTCTCTCACCTCCTCGGCCCTCCCTGGAGGAGGCGCCCTGGACCTGCCCTGAGGCGCGCTCGGACCAGGACGCCAGAGCGAATCCCGCCGCGAAGGCCCGCTTCCCTCTTCCTGGACTCTCCTCCCTCCATCCTCCCTCGGACACGGGATGCGTGCGACTGTTCGGAACGACCATGGGCAACCCGGAAGGCTTTCGACGAGGCGCAGCGGAAGGAAAACGCCCCAGGGCGGGAAGAAACCTTCAAGGAACCTCACGCTCGATATGAAGACCAATGAGCACAGAGTAGTAACATACGAGAAGAAACTTCGCCATACGAATATGGTTAGTCGATATGTGAGGGCCCTACGGTGCCCCATACTTAGCCGCCCCGATACACGCGGCCCGTAGCGTGTTGACACGGAGCTCAACACGCAGATTGAAAGCGTATGTTTGGCGAGATACGTTCGCCAAAACGTGGCCAACACGCTGAGCCGATACGCAACGTGTTAGCACGTACGTTTTGAGCACGTTACGTGGCGCGTGTCAACACGGGCGTATGAGGGCAACTAATGCGAGGGCCTTACAGTGTTTCTATGGGTTCCGTGGACCTCCAGGGGACGAGAGACTTCCGCGGTGCACGGGCCCTTCTCCGACGGCCCCCTCCGCGTCCTCGTCCTCTGCCGCAGGCTGGTCCTGTTTCACCGCCCCCTCTACCTCGTCCCCGCCGTCTTCGTACTCCTCCTCCTCCTCCTACCCTCCTCCTTCTCCTCCTTCTCCTTCCTCCTCCTCCTCCGCTGTCCTCCTTCTCCTCCTGCTCCTCCTCCTCCTCATCCTCTTTCTCACCTCTCCTGCCTCCTCCTCACACCTCCTCCTCCTCCTCCTCCTCCTCCTCCTCCTCCTCCTCCTCCTCCTCCTCGTATGCGCGCCATAAGAATCCCACCAGCCCTCTGGAGCTCGTTCTGCGAATCCCTTTTCCTCCCCTTCGGGGAGGGATTTCCCTCCCCCCCTCCCCCCAATTCTGGAGGAGGCGTTTCGCCAGGAGGTGGACCATCCAAGATGGCCCACGATGGCTCCAAGATGGCCCCACAGAGCCACAGATGGCCTGCAAGATCGCTCAAGACATCCCAACATGGTTCGAGATGGCTTCCACAACGCCTTCAAGGGGCCACACAACCGCTCCCAGGCGGCTCCATGGGCCCTCCGAGCCTACCACGGAGGTCCCCAGGAGGCCAACATCCTTAAAAACCTTGTAATGTGCAATGCGTTGTGCCTTATCGCTGTTTCGCTTCCGATGAGCGCAGAAGGTCTCAAGGCTGTTCCAACATGGCTCGACACGGCGCCACAAAGGGGCCCAACAGGGACCCAGCACAGCCACACGAGCACCCAAGACCGCCCCAAAGACCCTCCAAGAGGGGCCCTAATAGGCTCACCTCCCCTGTCCCTCTTGCAAAGGTTCCCGCTCGAGACATTGTAAAGACTCACTCACTGATACAACTATTGCTCAAGACACGCTCCAATGCTGGAGTCTCAGGAGGGCCCTACGGTGACGACAGCTACAGGTTTCCAAGCGAAGCGCTGGCCCAGTACGGAGCGGGCTCCCGCTCGAGACTCCGTGGCGTGTCACTGGCAGAAGAGACTCCCGCTCGAGACTTCCTAAGGTTTCAAGACCCAAGGGCTGCAATGTGATGATAATTACAAGTTTGATGATGGCCGCACCTGATCACTAACATTCTGTGCGGGCCCCAAAACTCTGGGGTCCCGCTCGAGACTTCTTCACGAGTCATTCAGAGGCGAAGCTCCGCACAAGACTTCCTGAAGATTCAAGCCCCGTGAACACAAAAGTGACTACAGTTACAGATTTGAGGAGAGCCGTCTCGGATCACTTGAACGAAAATCGGTCCCCATAGGGAGGGGGGGGGTCCTGATCGAGACCTCCGATAAGTCCCAGGAGGTCAAACGTGACGACATCTACAGGTTTGAGGATGACCGCCTCGGATTACTAACATGAAATGCAAGTCCCATAGAGCGGAGGCTCCCACTCGAAACATCCTCGCGTCTCACAGGCAGGCGAGGCACCCGCTCGAGACTTCCTCAAGAGGAATGCGTGGGTGCATTTGTGCGTGAAACTGGGCGATCGTGATGATGGTGCTGATACTGATGATGGTGATGGTGATGGTGGTGGTGGTGGTGATGGTGATGGTGGTGATTGTGGTGATGGCGGTGATGATAATGGTGATGATGATGGCCAAAATGGTCGATTAGTATGATTGGATTGTGGTAGTGGCGGGTATCTATATATATATATATATATATATATGTCATGGGGTGATCGTGCCGACGATGGTAGCGATACTGGTGATGATGGTGATGAGTGTGGAAGGAGACAAGGAGGAGCGGGTGATGTGTTCTTGTGCGCGGAAATGTCCATGGATAACAAAACCAACACTTAGGCCGTGGGGAAATATATACACGGATCAACTTGCGCACGTCATCCTTGCGCATGGCTAATGCGAACAATCTCTGTGTCGTTCCAAGTTCAACGGATGATCCCCACAGGGAATCCGTCCGTCTCTTCCTCCTCCTCCTCCTCCTCATTTTGGCCAGTCCGCTCCCTATCCGTTGGGAGACCTGGGCGATTATCCAAAAGCACACCCGTCGGGCTCCTCCATCTGCGCCACCGCTGCCCCAGTGGGGTCTCTCGCGGCGCCCTCGGGCGTGAAGGCGAGCACCTTGCCGCCGTAGGTGGTCAGGACCACCTCGAGAAAGCGGGAGGATCGAGGACCGCTCTTGAGACCCTCACGTCTCCTTCGTTTCAAGCCGGACGTTCTCGCCGGGTTTCAGGCCCTGGGGCCATCACGCATCGATCCTGCGCGAAAGCTGGCGCAGAAGGGTGGGGTCTGGGGCACTGGTCGCAATGTTTTGCTATGGCTCACGTTTTGCGAGACGTCGGATCACAATGGAGGTAGATCGAAGATCGAGGTTCCCAGCCTCCCTCGCGTCGTGGAACAAAAAAAACGGCGGACTTCTGGAGGAGGCTTGAGGATCGGGGGGGAGCGAGGTATTTGGAGGATCGAGGTCTTTGAAGGAGGATCAACGAGGATGGGGCTGGAGGATCGAGGCTGCTTGGAGGAGGCCAATCTATCGAGGTTTTTTTGAAGACCGAAGTTTTCTGGAGGAGGACCCAGGATCGAGGGCATTCCTCGAGAACCGAGAAGCTCGGAGGAGGAATGAGTAGTCCTCCTCCTCCTCCTCCTCCTCCTCCTCCTCCTCGTCCTCGTCCTCCTCCAGACCGAACATCGGTGATCAAGGATAATCACCTCGATCACAGTGGAGGATCGAGAATCGAGGGTCGAGGAGTGCCGGGATTTTGAAAGGAGGATCGGGGATCAAGGATCGAGGATCGCTGTCTATAGAAGTTGGACGTTTTGGTCCTCTTCGGGCCTCTCGGAGGCCTCCGGAGACCTCTTGATGAGGACCCCTGAAGGACTCTGGAGACCTCCAGAGGAAATGATGGGCTTGCATTGCGTGCCCATTTGAGTATATAGTTGTCCCCCCCTGCTCCAGACACAGACACAGACACAGCCTGAGGTTAAGTCAGCATCATATTCCTTTCCCATTTTCATTATTAAGGGAGAGAGAGAAAGAGCGAGAGAGAGAGAGAGAGAAAAAAAAAAAGAGGGTGGAAGAGAGGCAGCAAATCTCCCTCCATCCCCAGTCCTCGTCTCTCCAGCCCTTCCTCCTTGCCTCCTCGGTGCTGCCCCCCCTTCCACGGATCCCCACCCTCTCCCTGGGAGAAGGACCTCGGAAGCAAGCCTCCGGAACCGGAGGCCGGCATGCTCTTCACCCAGGAGGCTGGCTTTTTTGGTTCCAGCAGGCTGCCTTGCATGTGGCCTTCCCCCCACCCAGCCCCCACCCTCCGCGGCCGTTTCAAACAAGGCTGGGCCGAAAAGGCGCTCCTCTCGGGCCGCGCCACGCCACACTCCCCCCCTCCCCCCCCAAGTAGGCCTGCCAGAATCTGGAAGAGAAACTGCCTGCAGGGGCGGCTATCCCCCAGACCGTCGGGGGGTCTGCTCTCAGAGACCCGGGCGGGGGAGAGTGGGGGGTGGACTACATAGGGGAGCGAAGACGAAGGCCCGAGCTTGCCATCGCTCGGACGTCCGTTCCCCGTGCCTGCTTCGGCATCGTGCGTGCATTCGTCGCCAGATGATCCAGGATGCTCCTCGATGGTCTTCGCGGAAAAAAATGCAGACGTCCGAGCCACGCAAAACACAGGAGCCAAAAGAGGCCCTCCAGCGCCCTGGGCGTGAAGGCACAGGGCCCGAAAGAGGCCCTCCCGCGCCTCTCTTGGGCGCCGAGGGCGGGGAGCGCAGGGGGGCGTCCAGCCCCGGGGCCCAAGATTCGGGGGGGGGGGGGGCGATGGGCCCAGGGGCACGGCGCGAGGGAGGGTACCCTCTCCGAACTGGGGCGCAGAGCGCGCCAGGGGCGGCGCTGGAAGCGCCGCCAGGGGAGCTCAGCGTCGACTTAAGAAATCCGCTCGGACATTTCAGCACTGCGAGCAATAGCGACTGGAGCCCGAATTATACCAGATCTTTCTGCTGCATTTTCCTAGCCCGATCGGTCTGTGACGTTCCCAGTGCCCAAAAACGAGCGAAAACGCCCAGTGTGAAAAACTACCACAATATGCATGTGTAGGTGCCGCAGTTGTGTGCCCCGCTTTCGGTGCAGCTCCTTACATATGGGGCCACAAAGCGTGTGAGGAGTGTGCCGAACTGGGTGCGGTGGCGCCATGCGAACCCTGCCACTGGGGCCGTCGATGGAGCTGCTTATGAGGCCCCGACAAGTGTGAGGGATGCATGGGCGTGGTGGCGCCATGCGAACCCTGCCACTGCTTGGGGCCTTCGGTGGAGCTCCGTATGGGGCCACGAAGTGTGTGAGGGGTGTACCGAAATTGGCGCGGTGGCGCCATGCGAACCCTGCCACTAGCTCCCTATGGGGCCACGAATCGTGTGAGGAGTGTGCCGACATGGGTGCGGTGGCGCCATGCGAGCCCTGCCACTGGCGCCCTCGGTGGAGCTCCAGATGGGGCCACGAAACGTGTGATGGGGTGCACCGAATTGGGTGCGGTGGCGCCATGCCGACCCTGCCTCTGGAGCCTTCGGTGGAATCTCCTATGGGGCCAAGAGACGTTGAGGGGTGTGCCGACATGGAGACGGTGGCGCCATGCGAACCCTGCCACTGGGGCCTTCGGTGGAGCTCCCTATGGGTCCACGAAGCGTGTGAGGGGTGTGCCGCCACGGGTCCGGTGGCGCAGTGCGAACCATGCCACTGGAGCATTCGGGTGATCTCCAGACGGGGCCACGACGCGTGTTTCTTGAAAACGAGGACCCAACACCACATTATGGTTGGGGGGGAATCACGCCCGGGCCTTCGGGTCTATGCAAGTTGATCCTTTTTCGATGGGGGCCCTCCCCTTCACCCCCTGGAGGGCGCACGGGAGCCCGCAGAATCGGCCTCCGTGTGCTCGCTCCCGGTGACGTTGCCGGAGTCCATCGACTGGATGCTCTCCTGGCGGGCGGCCCCGTTTTTCGACAAGCCAGCGTGGTGTGGCGCGTCGTGAGGGTCGACGCCTCTGGGGTCACGCTGTGAATGCAAAATCGCGACGTCGGGGATCTGGGTAGACGGCTTGGCCACGGCTGTGACAGAGCGCGGCCCTCGACCCGTATCATAAGGATGCACGGTAAGGGTGCAAGGGCCTGGGAAGGCCACGCCGGCACTTTGCGGGCGGGGCGCGCCCCCAAAAAAGGGGCCATGGAGTGACCGAGGAGGCAAGGACGCAAGGGTACCCTTGGGAAGGATGCCCCTCCTTACTATGCGGGCGGACTGCATTCCTCGTCGGGGGCGCACGTCCGAAGGATGGGCCAGCGGGGCAAGGATGCAGGGGTCATCTTGGGAAGGTTACCCATCCTTACTGTGCAGGTCGACTGTAGGGCAAACCGGGACCGGGACAAGTTGTGGACCTCCAGGGTCTGGCGGTGCCGGAGGAGGTGGTGGGCGCCGCGGCCGTGCGATCTGGAATGCTCGGAGAGAGCGCTCCAGAGAGCGATCGTGAACGATTGAAACCTCCTGGCCCCAGGCCCGTCTGATCTGAGTCGCTCCCTCCCTCGAGTTGGGCGCGAATTAGTGGCAGGGCGAGAAATAGAGGGGGGGGGGTGAATAAGGTGCTTCGGGGGCCCTGAAGGGCCCCTGCCGGGCCCCAACGAACCCCTCGTGGGCCCAAGAAGACCCCTCTCTGTGGCCCTGAATGGCCACTTTTCGGCAGCCCTTGCTGCCCCCCCATTGATTGCCCCCCGTCCTCCGATCGAGGGCGTTCTCTGGGCCACCGGGGAGGCGCTCGGGGGCCGAGGGCAGGAGGAGGAGTAGGAGGAGGAGACGGAGGAGGAGGAGGAGAGGATGAGAAGGAGGAGGAGAAGGAGGAGGAGGAAAAGAAGATGGAGGAGGAATGCACGCTCCAGGTTGCCGCCTCTAGTTGGTTGCACTTCAAAAAAGGGGGAGGAGAATGAGCAGGAGGACCAGTGTAAACCCAAGAGTCATCAACGGTATTGGAATAAACCCTCCTTCCAAGCTCCCTCTTCATAGGCCCCTACAACGGTTCATTTCCATTGGGGATACTGCCTCGTTGGAAGACAACCGTTCCCGGGATTCCAACGCCACGGATCAACCTGACTGTTGCGCCTTGACGATCCTGAATATTGCCAGAACGTCATTCCTGGGACTTCAACACAGCGAATCAAGATAACTGTTGCACCCGCGCATCCCTGAAACCTTTCAAGACCCATTTTCTGGTACGTTGAGGGTGGAAATCCCTGAAAGCCTTGCACATGTTGTAAACGAATGTGCGCGGCGCAAAAGCGAGAACCACATTTTGAAAAGGAACCGCCCTCAATCCGTGGAACACTTGCAAATGATTAAAGCGAATGCGCGCCGCGCTAAAACGAGAAGCAACACTCGAAATCGACCCGCCCTCAATCCGTGAAACTCTTGCAAATGTTTAAAGCGAATGTGCGCGGCGCTAACGCGAGAACCACATTTTGAAATCGGCCCGCCCTCCATCCGTGAAACCCTGGCAAATGCTTACAACGAATGTGCGCCGCGCGACAAGCGAGAGCCACATTTCGAAGACAACCCGCCCTCAATCCGCGAAGATCTTGCAATTGTTTCAAACAAATGTGCGCCGCGCTACGGGGCGACAGCCTCATTGTGAAAACGACCCGCCCTCAAGCCGTGAAACTCTTGCAAATCTTTGAAACGAATGTGCGCCGCGATAAAACGAGAACGACATTTCGAAAACGACCCGTCGTCAATCCGTGAAGCTCTTGCAAATGTTTAAAGTGAATGTGCGCCGTGCTGAAGCGCCCTCAATCCGTGAAGCTCTTCCAAATCCTTACAAGGAATGTGCGTCGCGCTGAGGCGAGAACCATATTCTGAAAACCACCCGCCCTCAATCCGTGAAGCTCTTGCACGATTTAAAAACAAGTGCGCGACGCGCTGAAGGGATAGCCACATTTTGAAAACGACCCGTCCTCCAACAGTGAAACTGTTGTCAATGTTTCAGTTTCAGAGTCATACATGGTGATGAAGTCTTAGGCGAAACGACTGGCCCGCCCAGGATTCAGGCCACGGGCGGGGGTGGGAGGGAGGGCGAGGAGGCGGGCGAGGAGGCGGAAGAGGAGCTCATGCCACGGTGCACCCCGAAAATAGGCCGAAGAGAAGGGCAGGCATCGAGAATGGATGGGGGAGGAGGAGGAGGAGGAGGAGGAGGAGGAGGAGGAGGAGGAGGAGGAGGAGGAGGAAGAAGGAAGAGTAGACGGAGGAGGAGGAGGAGGATCAGGAGGACAACAAGCCCGAGGGAGGAGACGAAGAAGGAAGAGGACGGAGAGGAGGACAAGGACGACGAAGAGGGACGGAGAGGGGGAAGAGTGCGAGGGCGAGGGCGATGTCGGGAGGGGGACCCCCTCCCGCTTCGCAGGTTCGCTGGGCCACGCCCCGGTGGCAACGGCAGTCTAATCGCACGCCGCCGTCTCGCTCGGCTGAGGCACCGGAAGTGGGAAGGGGAATGACGGAGGGGAGGGAGCGGGCGGATGGAGAGGGCGGGGAGAGGGGACGAGAGGTAGAGAGTGACAGAGGCGGGGAGGAGGAGGAGGAGGAGGAGGAGGAGGAGGAGGAGGAGGAGGAGGGGTGAGGGGCACAGGAGGGAAGATTGATGGTGGGAGAGGGGGAAGCTTGGGGGAAGGCACAGAAGAGGAGTGGGGAATGTGCGAGAATGGAGGGAGACACGGAGGCTGGCGGAGAGGAGGGAGGGACGGAAGGGAGAAGGCAAGGATACGAGGGAGGAGGGAGGACGGACGGAAGGAGGTAGGCCAGGGCGGAATGCGGGAGATAGGGAGGGCGGATGCGGGAGGAGTGCCCTGGGACAGGTACGATCACTGCTCCTCCTCGTCCTCCTCCTACCTCCTATCATCCATCCGTTTTCGTTCATCATCCTTCATCCTTCCTCCTTCCGTCCTCCCTCACCCTCTTCTTCTTCCTCCTCCTCTCCTACTTGAGAATTCCTGCCAGTTCCCCTCGCTCCTGCTCCCCCTCCTCCTTTCCCGCTGTCTCCATCTCCTCCTCCTCCTCCTCCTCCTCCTCCGCCTCCTCCTCCTTCTCCTCTTTCTCCTCCCTCTTGCCCTTTTGCTCAATCTCCCGCTTCCCCCTCCTCCCTCCCCTCCTCCTCCACATTCCCCTCCCACTCCACCTCCTTCTCCTCCTCCGTCTCCTCCGACTCCTTCTCCTAACTCCTCCTAGCTACTCCTAACTCCTTCTAGCTCCTCGTCTTCCTGTGTGAATGTGTATGTGAATGTGTATGTGTATGTGCATAGATGTGTGGTGTTGTGTGTGTGTGAGTGTATGTGTGTGGGCGTGTGGGCGTGTGGGCGTGTGTGTGTGTGTGTGTGTGTGTGTGTACGTGTGTACGTGTGTACGTGTGTGTGTGTGCGTGTGTGTGTGCGCGTGTGGGTGGGTGTCTGTGTGGGTGGGTGTCTGTGTGGGTGTGGGTGTGTGGGTGGGTGGGTGGGTGTGTGGTTGGGTGGGTGGGTGGGTGGGGCTTGTGGGGAGGGCTATTGGCAACACACGAACGCCGTGGTCGGTTACCGAGCGCCGGGGCAAGCCGCACGGTCACCGTGCGCCTCAGCCGCGGCCGCGGCGCGGCGGCAGCGGCAGCTCGGCGGCGGCCCGGCCTGCAGGCAGGTCTCGAAGCACAGGGTCGGCGGCAGCTGGTCCATGCCGTTCGAGAAGGCGGCGACGGAGCTCTCGCCGAGGTTCCAGACCTGGGCGGCGGCGGGCCCGCGCCCCCCCTGAGGCCGTGACAGATCACGGCGGGATGCGTCTCGTCGTTCTCGGCCCGTGGGGGCCCTCGCTGGACCCCCCTGGACCGTCAAGGAAACTGCTCAGGGTGAAAGGCCAGTCCTGGGGAATGGTTCGAGGCCTCTGGGAGTCCACGTCGTGAGAAAATCATGGCGCTGGCCTCCTCCTCCTCCTCCTCCTCCTCCTCCTCCTCCTCCTCCTCCTCCTCCTCTTGCCGTCAAGATGTTGTCACACGGGGAGCCTCGGACGAGTAACGAGGACCGTTTTGGGCCTCGGTTGCGCCCGTGAGTGCTGCTGCAGAAGAAACACCAGCGCAGAGGCCCAGGGAACATCGAGCGCACTCGGAAACCAAAGGGGGTCTTGTCCCAAAATTGTGATTGTTCTCCTTCTGGTCTCCATCATCTGAATCATCAGGGCCATCACCATAATCAGTATCCATCATCATCTACAGCATCAGGATCCTCATCATATTCAGCATCATACTCATGATCTGCCTCCTCCTAGTCCTCATTATCTTCCTCCTCCTCCTCCTCCTCCTCCTCCTCGTTCTCCTCGTCCTCCTCCTCCTCCTCCTCCTCCTTCTCCTCCTCCTCCTCTCGTCGCTCTTATCTTGCTTTTGCTCCACTCGTCGTCCTCCTACTGTGGCTGCTTCTGCACCGCACACTTTTGCTCCTCCCCCCCCCTGCTCCTGCTCCTTCATAATGTTTTTCACTCCTCCCCATCAATACTCTTACCCCTCGTCTCCTCCTCCTGATCCTCCTCTCAACCCACCTCCTTCCCCTTATGATTCTGCCCCCTCCTCCTGCTCCACCCTCCTCACTCCCCCTCATTGGGCTCCGTCCTCATTCCTTCCTCCTCCTCCTCCTCCCCCATCCCTCCTCCTCCCCCCCCATCCCTCCTGCTCCTTCTCCTCCTCCTCTTACTCCTCCTTCTGCCTCCTACTCTTTCTTATCCTTCTCCTCCTCCTCCTCCTCCTCCTCTGCCCACCCCGCTGGCGGCAGGGGCGAAGGCCGCTGTCCACAGAGACATGGGGCGAGGGTCGAGAGTGAGGGAGGGGCAGGAGGGAAGGGGGAGCAATCGAGCGAAGAGGGGGTGGGAAACCACCCGTCCAAGCGGAAGCCGCAGATGCGGGCAGGGAGGGGGAGGTTGAAGAGGCTCTAGGACACACACAAGGAGATACCCAGCAATGACAGGATTCCCCATCTGTTCTCATATTTTTTCCCGGAAAGGGCTCGAGCCCAGGGTTCTCTTTTAGTGGGTTTACCCCCCGGTTTCGACGGCTGGAAGGCCGGCGAAATTATTCTGCGATAAATTACGTGCGGGAGTAGGGCCGGCGGAATTATTTTTGAGGATGTCCCTAGCGAAACGCTTGTTTTTCAGAATTTGTTGAGGATGTCTCGAGCGAAACGCTGGTTTTGCAGAGTTGGGGATGTCTCGAGCGAAACGCTTGTTTTCAGAATTTGTTGAGGATGTCTCGAGCGAAACGCTGGTTTTGCAGAGCCGACCGCGACGCGGAAAAGCGCCCCGCGCGCAGGAATTCCGATGATGTTTCGCGCGTGCCGCGTCCCGCGCGCAGGAATTTCGAGGATGTCTCGACTAATTCGTTCGTTTTGCCAGGATTTCCTTGAATTTTGGCAGGATGTCTCGAGCGAAATGCTTGTCTTTCATCATTTGTTGAAGACGTTTCGAGCGAAACGCTGGTTTTGCAAAATTGGGGGATGTCTCGAGCGGGGGCCTCGTGGGGGTCCTCGTGGGGGGTCCAGAATTCAGAGGATGTCTCAGGCGAAATGCTTGTTTTCACGTCCCGCTCGCAAGAATTTTGAGGATGTCTCGCGCGTGCCGCGTCCCGCGCGCAGGAATTCTGAGGATGTTGGCAGGATGGCTCGAGCGAAACGCTTGTCCCCAGCACGTTCCGTAGCGCGTCCCTTTGGCACGTCTCGCGGTGCGTCCCCATGGCACGTCCCTTGGCACGTCGCTTGGCGGGTCCCTTGAGACGTTCCGCGTCGCGTCCTCCTGGTATGTCCCCTTGTCAATTAGCTCTGGGGCAGCTAATATTTGTTCAGGCAGCTCGAGCTTAAGATCCAGATCAGTTCGGTCAGGACTCGGATGCAAAGGAGGACTCGATCCACGAGGCTATAGAGCACAATCGCGGCATGGCACATCGCAATTCGGCATGGCGCAGCACAGCACAGATTTCGGCACGGTACATCAAGATCGATACTCTCAGCATTGCAACTTGGCACGTTCCGTGGGGCGTCCCTTGGCGAGTCCCCCTGGCACGTCGCGTGGCGAGTCCCCTGGCACATTCCGTGGCACATCCATTGGCACGTTCCGTAGCGCGTCCCCTTGGCACGTCCCGCGGTGCGACCCCACGGCACGTCCCGTGGCACGCCGCCTGGCGCGTCCCTTGGGACGTTTCGCGGCGCGTCCTCCTGGCATGCCCCCTTGTCAATTAGCTCTGGGGCAGCTAATATTTGTTCAGGCAGCTCGAGCTTAAGATCCAGATCAGTTCGGTCAGGACTCGGATGCAAAGGAAGACTCGATCCACGACGCTATAGAGCACAACCGCGGCATGGCACATCGCAATTCAGCACGGTGTAGCACAGCACAGCCCTCGGCACGGTACATCAAGATCGATACAATCAGCATTGCACTTGCCCGTCACCCAATCAGGTGTCTTTGAAAACGTTGCCATGCGTTACATTTCTATATTCCTTTCCGGGTTCGTGGGTCGATCATGTTCTTGGTTTTTGTCTTCTCCCCCCCACTTCCCATATTTTCCCGCATTCCTGGGGAATCGACGATTAATTGTGTCTGTGCGTTTTCCCGGAAAGAGCTGGGGCCCAGGGTTCTCTTTTAGATGGTTTACCCCCGGTTTTGACTTGAAGAGGGCCGGCGAACTTATTCTGCGAAAGTAACGAAGTAAAGTGCTGTTTGTTTTGAAGAAATGCGTTTCGTGCGTGCCCGCTCGAGGAAAGTGCGCCCCCCATCTCGGATCCTCGATAAAAAAAAACGGGGTCCGCAGACCCCCGTTTTCATTCGTAAAAAAAAATGCGGAGCGTTTTTCGCAGAATCCTCGACAAATAACCGGGGCTAGAGCCCTGACCGCGACGCGGAAAAGCGCCCCGCGCGCAGGAATTCCGAGGATGTCTCGGGCGTGCCGCGTCCCGCGCGCAGGAATTCCGAGGATGTCTCGACTAATTCGCTTGTTGTGTCAGGATGTCTTATAATTTTGGTAGGATGTCTCCAGCGAAACGCTTTTTTCCCGGAAAGGGCAAAGGCCCAGGGTTCTCTTTTAGTTGGTTTACCCCCCGGTTTCGACGGGAGGTGGGCCGGCGAAATTATTCTGCGATAAATTACGTGCGGGAAGAGGGCCGGCGAAATTATTTTTGAGGATGTCTCGAGCGAAACGCTTGTTTTTCAGAATTTGTTGAGGATGTCTCGAGCGAGACGCTGGTTTTGCAGAGTTGGGGATGTCTCGAGCGAAACGCTTGGTTTCAGAATTTGTTGAGGATGTCTCGAGCGACACGCTGGTTTTGCAGAGCCGACCGCGACACGGAAAAGCGCCCCTCGCGCAGGAATTCCAAGGATGTCTCGCGCGTGCCGCGTCCCGCGCGCGGGTATTTGGATTTTTGGATTTTGACAGGATGTCTCGAGCGAAACGCTTGTTTTTCATAATTTGTTGAGGATGTCTCGAGCGAAACGCTGGTTTTGCAAAATTGGAGGATGTCTCGAGCGGTGGCCTTGTGGGGGGCCAGAATTCAAAGGATGTCTCAGGCGAAATGCTTGTTATCACGTCCCGCTCGCAGGAATTCCGAGGATGTCTCGCGCGTGCAGCGTCCCGCGCGTAGGAATTCAGATGATTTTGACAGGATGTCTCGAGCGAAACGCTTGTCCCCAGCACGTTCCGTAGCGCGTCCCCTTGGCACGTCCCGCGGTGCGTCCCCATGGCACGTCCCTTGGCACGTCGCTTGGCGCGTCCCTTGAGACGTTCTGCGTCGCGTCCTCCTGGCATGTTCCCCTGTCCATTAGCTCTGGGGCAGCTACTATGTGTTCAGGCAGCTCGAGCTTAAGATCCAGATCAGTTCGGTCAGGACTCGGATGCAAAGGAGGACTCGATCCACGAGGCTATAGAGCACAATCGCGCCATGGCACATCGCAATTCAGCACGGCGCAGCACAGCACTGATTTCGGCACGGTACATCAAGGTCGATACACTCAGCATTGCAACTTGGCACGTTCCTTGGCACGTTCCGTGGGGCGTCCTTTGGCGAGTCCCCCTGGCACGTCGCGTGGCGCGTCCCCTGGCACATCCCGTGGCACATCCATTGGCACGTTCCGTAGCGCGTCCCCTTGGCACGTCCCGCGGTGCGACCCCATGGCACGTCCCCTGGCACGTCGCCTGGCGCATCCCTTGGGACGTTTCGCGGCGCGTCCTCCTGGCATGTTCCCCTGTCAATTAGCTCTGGGGCAGCTACTATGTGTTCAGGCAGCTCGAGCTTAAGATCCAGATCAGTTCGGTCAGGACTCGGATGCAAAGGAGGACTCGATCCACGAGGCTATAGAGCACAGTCGCGCCATGGCACATCGCAATTCAGCACGGCGCAGCACAGCACAGCCCTCGGCAGGGTACATCAAGGTCGATATACTCAGCATTGCATTTGCCCGTCACCCAATCAGGTGTCTTTGAAAACGCTGCCATGTGTTACAGTTCTATATTCCTTTCCGGGTTCGTGGGTCGATATGGTTTTTTTCTCTCATAATTTGCTGAGGATGTCTCAAACGAAGCACTGGTTTTGCAAAAGTTGGAGACGTCTCGAGCGGGGGCTTCGTGGGAAGCCAGAATTCAAAGGATATCTCAGGCGAAATGCTTGTTTTCGTGTCCCGCTCGCAGGAATTCCAAGGATGTCTCGCGCGTGCCGCGTCCCGCGCGCAGGAAGTTTGAGGATGTCTCGACTAATTCGCTTGTTTTGCAAGGATTTCTTAGAATTTTGGCAGGGTGTCTCGAGCGAAACGCTTGTTTTTCATAATTTGTTGAGGATGTCTCGAGCGAAACGCTGGTTTTGCAAAATTTGGAAATGTTTCGAGCGGATGCTTCGTGGGGGCCCAGAATTCAAAGGATGTCTCAAGCGAAATGCTTGTTTTCGTGTCCCGCTCGCAGGAATTTCAAGGATGTCTCGCGCGGGCCGCGTCCCGCGCGTAGGAATTTTGAGGATGTCTCGACTAATTCGCTTGTTTTGTCAAGATTTCTTAGAATTTTGGCAGGGTGTCTCGAGCGAAACGCTTGTTTTTCCATAATTTGTTGAGGATGTCTCGAGCGAAACGCTGGTTTTGCAAAATTTGCGAATGTCTCGAGCGGGGGCTTCGTGGGGGGCCAGAATTCAAAGGATGTCTCAGGCGAAATGCTTGTTTTCGTGTCCCGCTCGCAGGAATTCCAAGGATGTCTCGCGCGTGCCGCGTCCCGCGCGCAGGAATTCTGAGGATGTCCCGTAGCCCGTCCCCTTGGCACGTCCTACGGTGCGACCCCACGGCAAGTCCCTTGGCACGTCGCCTGGCGCGTCCCTTGGGACGTTTCGCGGCGCGTCCTCCTGGCATGCCCCCTTGTCAATTAGCTCTGGGGCAGCTAATATTTGTTCAGGCAGCTCGAGCTTAAGATCCAGATCAGTTCGGTCAGGACTCGGATGCAAAGGAAGACTCGATCCACGACGCTATAGAGCACAACCGCGGCATGGCACATCGCAATTCAGCACGGTGCAGCACAGCACAGCCCTCGGCACGGTACATCAAGATCGATACAATCAGCATTGCACTTGCTCGTCACCCAATCAGGTGTCTTTGAAAACGCTGCCATGCGTTACATTTCTATATTCCTTTCAAGGTTCGTGGGTCGATCATGTTCCCGGAAAGGGCGCCGGCCCAGGGTTTTTCTTTAGGATGGTAATATGTCCCCGGTGCCATGCGGGAGGTGTGCCGGCGGAATTCTGCTCGATAAAAAACACAGTAAAATCAAATTCGGCGTGAAAAAATGCGTTTCGCGCGTGCCCGCTCGAGGAAAATCGACCCCCCATCTCGGATCCTTAATAAATAACGGGATCCGCGGATCACCGTTTTCCTTCGTAAAAAAAACGCTTGCACTTTTAGCAGAATCATCGAAAAATGCAAAAAAAAAATTGAGCCCCGACCGCGACGCGGAAAAGCGCCCCGCGCGCAGGAATTCCGAGGATGTCTCGTGCGTGCCGCGTCCCGCGCGCAAGAATTTCGAGGATGTCTCGACTAATTCGCTTGTTTTGCAAGGATTTCTTTGGATTTTGACCGGATGTCTCGATGTCTCGAGCAAAACGCTTGTCTCGAGCGAAACGCTGGTTTTGCAAAGGTGGGGGATGTCTCGAGTGGGCGCCTCGTGGGGGGCCAGAATTCAAAGGATGTCTTATGCGAAATGCTTGTTTTCACGTCCCGCTCGCAAGAATTCCGAAAATGTCTCGCGCGTTCCGCGTCCGGCGCGCGGGAATTTTGAGGATGTCTCAACAAATTCGTTTGTGTTGCCAGGATTTCTTTGGATTTTGACAGGATGTCTCTAGCGAAGCGCTTGTTTTTTTGTAATTTGTTGAAGATGTCTCGGGCGAAACGCTGGTTTTGCAAAATTTGGGGATGTCTCGAGCGGGGGCCTCGTGGGAGTCAGAATCCAGAGGATGTATCAAGCGAAATGTTTGTTTTCATGTCCCGCTCGCAGGAACTCCGAGGATGTCTCGCGCGTGCCGCGTCCCGCGCGCAGGAATTTCCAGGATGTCTAAACCAATTCGCTTGTTCTGCCAGGATTTCTTGAAATTTTGGTAGGGTGTCTCGAGCGAAACGCTTGTTTTTCATAATTTGTTGAGGATGTCTCGAGCGAAACACTGGTTTTGCAAAATTCGGGGGGTGTCTCGAGCGGGGGCCTCGTGGGGGGCCAGAGTGCAAAGGATGTTTCAAGCGAAATGTTTGTTTTCACGTCCCGCATGAAAACGCGTGGTCCCCTGACACCTCAGAGCGGGAAAAACATGAAAACACTTGGTCTCCAAACGCCTCAGAGCGGGACAAGCGTGAAAACACGTGGGTTCCGAATGCCTCAGAGGCCGCCCCGGGAGGCCCCAGGAGGCATCCCCAGGGCCCCAACGTTCCTTGTCGCACTTACTCGCGGCTTCCCTCCGTTCTCTCCAGCTCGTGGCAGGTCGCCCGTGGGCTTCGGAGCGACGCGCGCGCGCAGTGGCCGCGCGCCGTTTGCACCCGCAGGGTCAGCCGGGCGGCCCCGCCGGGCAGCTGCCTTCCCGGTGCCATGCTTGCGCGGAAGCGCCCAGCGGCGTCTGACCTCACCGCTTCTCGCTACGAGGCGGATTTCTGGGGTCTCGAGGGCGGCAGGAGCAAGCCTGGCCTGAAGAAGAGGCCCGCCGCCGCGGACGAAGGCCCGCCCTTGCCGCCGCGAGACTATGCCAGTCGTAACCGGCGAGACGGCGATGTGTCGGGACCTGGTGATTTCTTTGGCCACGGGTGATTTGCGACAGCGCCTGCTGCGCAGCCGCTATGACCTCGAAAGCGCTCGCCGCACGGAACGGCAGAGACAGATCGAGGCAGGGACTGCTCTCGATGACGACTGGCTGGGGGAAGCGGCCAGGGCTTTCAACACCTCTACCCGCAAGAGGGAGCAAATGCAGGTCGTGGACGACGTCCTGGAGGCCGTGCGACAGACCCGAGAGCGGACTCCAGGCACGGCAACCGCCATGGACGCCGAACGCAGGGCGGCGCTTCGCAGGCGGACATGGGATTCCACATCCGTGTCGCGCGAGGCGAAAGCTGCGGGCTTGCCTGTGGCGCAGAAGGATGTCAACAAGCGTCATGGTGTCGACGCGGTGCGGGATGAGCTGCTTGTTAGATCTTGCCCAGAGTATCTACGCCTGCGCGTGGTTGGCGAGTACCTCCAGCGGCGCGGGGGCTGGCCTTCCCATGCTGCGGGGCCCTCGGAGGCTGCAGAGCTCCGCGACGACGACGACCTCTGGGCGTCGCGCTACCTGCAGAGCGCTCTCGCGCGCAGGCACGTGAGCGTTTCCACGGGCGAGCAGCTCTCGCCGAGCGACGTGGCGCAGTGGCAGCAGCTGGATGACAGGAGCCCGGGAGCGCAGCGGCCCGCCTGGCAGGCGGACCCCCTGCGAGACCACCTGCAGGCATACTACGAGGAGCACGGCCACCTGAACGTGAAGCCCGCGAGTCGGAAGGTGGGTACATCAAGATCGATACACTCAGCATTGCAACCTGTCACGTTCCCCGGCACGTTCCGTGGCGCGTCCCGTGGCGAGTCCCCCTGGCACGTCGCGCGGCGCGTCCCCTGGCACGTCCCGTGGCACGTCCATTGGTACGGTCCGTAGCGCGTCCCCTTGGCACGTCCCGCGGTGCGTCCCCATGGCACGTCCCCTGGCAAGTCGCCTGGCGCCTTCCTTGAGACGTTTCGCGGCGCGTCCTCCTGGCATGTCTCCTTGCTAATCAGCTCTAGGGCAGCTACTATGTGCTCAGGCAGCTCGAGCTTACGACCCAGATCAGATCGGTCAGGACTCGGGTGCAAATGAGGACTCGATCCACAACGCTATAGAGCACAATCGCGGCATGGCACATCGCAATTCAGCACGGCGCAGCACAGCACAGCTCTGGGCACGGTACATCAAGATCGATACACTCATCATTGCATTTGCCCGTCGCCCAATCAGGTGCCTCTGACACGTTGCCATGTCTTGCATTTCTATATTCCTTTCCGAGTTCGTGGGTCGATCATGTTTTTTCCTTTCTGAGAGAGGTGGAGGGGAGGGAGAGAGGAGGGGAAGGACGGGGAGGGAGGGAGGTAGAGGCTTCAACGGGAACGTAGCTTGGCCACGACAAAGCTGCGGCAGGAGCCGTGCTGGGCCTTCCTCTCCTTCTTTCGCCCTCTCCCCCCTTCCCCTCTCTCTCGCCTCCTCTCCCCCGAGACTGCGGGAGCGCGTGCGCTGGCTTGCCAGTGCGGCCAGCTCGCAGACCTTGGTCCGCTAGGTGTGGGGGGAGGGAGGGAGGGAGGGAGGGAGGGAGGGAGGGAGGGAGGGAGGGAGGGAGGGAGGGAGGGAGAGGGATGGTAGGAACAGATGAGGAGAAGGGGGGGAGAACGAGGGAGAGCGGAGGCGGGACCGTAAGCCCTCCCCCTGCCTGGCAGCGGCAGCCCCGCAGGGCGAGGCCTCGAAGTTGCCGTCGTCCCGCCCCACCAGGAAGTCCAAAGTGCCTCGCGGAGGGGTGGGGGGGGGGGCATGCCGGAGGGAACAGCGAGCGTGCGACCGCTCGTGGGGAACGCTGAGCTGAGCAAGGAACTCGGACGAAGCCAGGACGAGGATGACATCAGGGGAAGACACATCGGGAATCTCTGAGATCCGGCAGCTCTGGAGGATGCCTGTTGACGCCCGAAGTGGGCACGGAAAAACTGGGTACAATGCCCAACAACAAATCTTGTCCCAAACCGACAGCGGCCGCTGTTGGGCAGGCGGCCTTCAGGCTCGAATGGACACAGGCCGCGGCGACCCCGACAGTGGGTCCTGTTCAAAAGGGGCAAGGACTGCCGTCGGTCTTTGTGCCCTTTTCCTTTCCCTACCAGCTCCGATCGTCCCGAGCGTCTCGGGCGCCGCGGCCTTCCAGGAGCGTCCCGGAACGCTCTCCGAGAGCGCTCCGGAACGCCCCCTGGAACGGAACGGAGGTCTCCCCGTCCTGGGCTTAAGTCGGGCCGGTCCCCCCACAGGCGGATTTTTTGGGCGAACAGTCGCAATTCAAAATACTCAGAAATACCCCCAAGTGGTCAAACAATATTCAAAAATCGTCCCCAGATCGTTTTTCCCACTCTTTTTGGATTCGGGGATGGACAGGCCTCCCTTTAGTAAAACGTGGTTTAGTGAAAACGACCTGAGGCCCAAACCTGGCGGGCGAAAGCCTGGAGGATAACGGCCACGGCGCCCTCTCGAGAACCGAAAACGGACAATTCACTAATCGACGTGTCACTATTGGGGGTTCTGTCCTCCCCCGATGGATATTCCTCCCGTAGAGGGACACGCCCGACTTCCTCCTGGTCCCGTGCGGCACGGCCCGCCTCGGCCACGAGCAGGCCCCCAGGCCTCTGGAGCTGTCGGAGGGCACGGCGGGGGAGGGGGGGGCGCCGAAGGCCTGGGCCCCTCCCGAGCCGCCCCCCTAAACTTGCCGTCGCTCGGGCGTCCATTCCCTGTGCGTTTTTTGGGTCTTGTGCGTGCTTTTCCTGCTCGAGGATCCAGGATGCTCTTCGATGGTCCTCGCCGAGAAGAAAATGCGCACGTCCGAGCGATGCCACGTAAAAGTGGGTGTTTTCTTATCCGGCGTCTCGGCATGGGGCGGAAGGGGGGGGGGGTCTGGCTCTGGACCCCTGCTTCATGCCAGTGCCTGCAGCAGTGCGCCCTGTGGGGGAGGCTCCACCTGCTCGAAACAGGCGCCAGAAACAGCCAAGATCTACACCCTGCGAAATGCTTAAGAAATCATGGGTTAAGAAATTCATAGTCTCAGAACTTGAACAAAAATCCAAGATTTCTATCAAGATCTTGAGATTTACATTGAAACGTTAAAAATAATCGAGACGCAGGCCGAAAACTTAAGTTTTCTTATGCATTGCCTGAGGTGTACTCCATGGGGGGGAGGGGAGGTGCGAGGGCCCACGCCGATGAGCCCCCCCCTAAATGGGCTCTCTTGTTTCAGCGTCTTGGCTGCTCCAGCTTTTCCGCGCGCGAGCGAGCCTCGGGAGGCGGCCGGCAGAGGGGAGGCCGTCGTCACCGTTTCGGGAGGGGCGAGGAGGGGAGGAACGCTTCGAGAGGGGTGGGGCTGGGGGGATACGGCAGGTTCGTGCGGCGTCGGCGCGCGCAAAGGTTTTTGACACCGCGTCGATCGTTCAACCTTGAATGAATCGCGGACCCGATCGTTCAAGGTAGAATTCCGTCGGGCCCAATGGCGGTATCTTGTCCCTCGGTGCTTCCGCGTCGCAGAATTCAACATTGAACGCCTTCGCCGGCGTCGCCGGCGCGCCAACGCCGCGCGAACCTACCGTATGAGGGGGGGAACGGCTCCGAGACGACTGACCGCCCAGCTTCGCACCTCGCTGGCAAAAGGGAGGGCGCGAGACTGGCCGCTCGCATCGTGCGGTGTGCCGGCTCTGCCCCCGGACGATGGGGGGGAGGAGACGTCAGGGGAAAGGGCGCAGGGGAGGGAGCAGGAAAAGAGCTTCATGCGCCTAGTCCTTTTTGGGCCTCGTGGGGGGGGGGGGGGCCTCGCCGCCCCCCCCAGATCCGTCTCGAAAACTTTCTCGGAGCGCGCTCCAAGTCAGGTTTGGGGGGCGGTTTCGACGGGGAGCGGCCCAATGTGACGTGCACGATCGTGCGGGAAGATTTCGGGGACCTCGCGGCTGGCCAAGGTACGATGGCGTCAGAAGTCCTGGGCCTTCGACGCTACAATGCTCCCACATCTTGCTGTCCCCGTGGACACTCCAAGATTTCGCCAGCCCAGAAGGTCAGAGGTATGCCAAGACCTTCGTCAACGGGTTACGAGCATTTCTGAATCGCGCGGGGCGGTCCTTCGGGGTGCGTGGGCGAGAAGTACCCCAGCAAGGTCCCATCAAGGATGCTGGACCTCCTGGGGGCTGTTGGCAGGGCCTTCCAGAGCGCTCCTGGAACACCCCAAGGGATCCCAAGGGAGCTCCAGTAGGGCTCAAGAGTCGGGACCTGTGGGTGGCAGGCATCAGTGTGGCCCAAAGACGGTCCTAAGGGGCCTCAAGGTAGCTTCAAGAGGGGAACCAAAACTTCGTGAGGGCACCCAGAGGCTCAACTTCATGTTTTTCGTTCTGGGTTTGAAGGGTTTGGGCCTTCTGCCTTTTTGGACTTCCGACTGCCCAAAGCGGCCCCAGAGGACCCCAATTTCGCCCCAAGACAACCCAAACTGCTCCCAGGCCAGGGCGGCCCCAAGACGGCCCAAGAGTGCTCTGGAGACCCCCAAGAGCGCCCCAAGAGGGGAACCCCTTTGCCACTTGGAGCCCTTTCCTTTCAGAATGGCCCCTGAAGCCACCAGCAAGCCACCAAGGGTCTCCAAAGAGGCCCTCAGAGATCCCCAAAACACCGCCAAGAAGCCCCCACGAGACCCCCAAGAGGCCCCACACCTGCCGCTACGAGACTCCAAGATAGCCTCCACGATGCCCCCACAAGCTTTCAAATTATACCCCCAACCACACCTCAAAGCACGACAAAGCATCCCGAGCTCCACCCGAATTCCCCAAGATGGGTCGACACAGCCCACGCGCGACGACATGTGCACAGAACTAGTTTGGGAAAACACTGCCTCACAGATGGTTCCAGCCAGCCACGATCATACAACCACGCACAAACAGTTGTGCGACGTGGGCCGGCGGAATGATCAAAGCTATTTAATATCTCCACCGTCGCTTCCCTGGTCCTTTCATGTGCACCCGCACGGCTTGGAGGGCACCATGATACGCTGCAGTCCTGAGCCTGCATACGTTGAGCAGGTCTCGCCTCCTCCTGCTCCCATCTCCCCGAAAGCAAACGTTGTCCTGAGAGGAACGGATCCTGAGAGAACCCCGTCGGTCCTGAAGAAAACGAGTCCTGGACCTCAGAGCTTTCCTGGGGACCTGCGTTTAACCCCGAGTCGTGTGTTCCGACTGCTCCAGGGCCCTGGATGGGCCCCAGGATGCCGAAAACAGCAAAACAACAAAAACCTCAGGGCCTCATTACCTCAGGATCTCCTTCTCTCCACGGCGACCCCACAATGTCGGCCCCCAGATCCCCGTGGCCAGAACTTCGAGGGGAGTCAAGCAGTGGAGGCTATGAGCCTCGGGGAGGGTCGAGCAGGGCGAAAGCCGTCCACCGTCCAAGAGGCGGAGCCTCGTTTCGGGACCCCCTTGGGGCCCACGGCGAAGAGGAGGGGCAGATCGCTGCCGGCGGGGCACCGCTCTTCAGGACGTCCGCCGTGTGCAGGGTGCAGACTCTGGCCCTCCGCGTCGCCGCCGCCGGACCTGCTGTGGCCGGCACGCCCAGGGCTGCACCGGGGCAGGGGCCCGCCCGGGCAAGAGGCAGCTCCGGCCAGGGCGCAGGGCGAGGAGCAGGGTCGAGGGGCGAACGAGCGCTTCTGTTCAGCATCCCATGCACCAGGCGGTGATTGCTCCACGAACTCCAGGACCCGGGACTGGGAATCGCCACGGCCGTGCAGCCTCACAAGAGATGCTGCTTTGAAATATTGTTTCTGGTCTGGTGGTTCACCCGGGGGGGGTCCCCGGGTAACGGTAGCGCTTGGGCGGGGTGGGGCACGTCAGGGCGGGGGTGCGCTGCGATCGCCAGTATGCGCAGGCACCGGCATGTGGGGAGGTGTCCAAGCCCCGTTCCTACATACGATCGTTGCCGTTACCCGTAGGGCAAGGGGGTGGCGGATAAGGACCGTTACGCGCCAGAGGATAAGACAAAAACAATATCAGGCGGCGATGACTTCACGAACTCTGGGACTGAGAATCTGAACGGCCATGCAGCCCGCCAGCTTGCATCGGAGGAGCGCCTGGCAAGGGGCTCGGAAAAGAAGGGCGAACGAAGGGAAAGGGGGCAACCAACGGAGGAGGAAGAACGCAGGGTGCAGGAAGGTGGCCACGAATGGGGCCCCGAACTGCCACCCTGGCTCCAAAGAGGTGACTGAAGTGCGTGCGCCAATTCTGAATCTGACCTTTCCAAATTGCAACCTCAGGGGGGGTAACTTTTTGATCTACGCAGCCGCAATATAACAAAAAAACGATTGTCACCGCGACGTGAAACGCACTACCACCTGGAGCCACACGCAATGCCATGGCAAGCGAAGTGCCCCAAGGGGAGAATGACAAGGGGATAGACGAGAGCGAATTGATGCCCATGGCATAGTCTTCGTAGAAGCTCGGCCCAACCGCAGCCAGCGAGGCACCGTTGCAAATATCATCCAGCAGAGCACGCATAGTATGTGGAGGCCTGGTGTGTCGGACACCACGGGCAGCTATAAGAAGGATCCGACCAAGTCTGGCATGCCCCACACGTCATGTCAGCTGGACCGCCCCCCTTTTCGAGCCTCTGTTCTCGACGTGAAGACTGCCAATGCGGACCGCTGCGGGACGTCAAAGGAGAGGCCTACGGTCAAGCATTGAAAGCAAGTCCTATGCCAACTGCATGATGTTGAAACCCCATAGATGCTTCCCTAGTGTGATTGGCGTATAGCAATACAACGCCTGGAACATTACTTGCTGGATAGAACGCGTAAAAAGAGAATCCGCTATCTTGCGCCCTGGCACGTTGAGGCGCGGAAGAACTCCAGGCGACGTCTGATGATTCTGGGGTTCTTCAAGTCTTCGAAGGAGCTCCACCCCGCCCTCCTCTGCTAGCGCCCAGTCGCATGCATCGCCCCCCTTTCAGAAACCATGGGCCGCCCCCCACGCCTCCTGATGCTCTCCGAAGCGCAAGAACAAGACTTCCAATGTTGCCCGGAGAGGCCACCCAGGTCGCCAAGATGGCAGAGCCTTGCCCTCAAACGCACCCGAAAGCCCCCAGGAAGCGCTCATTAGGTCCTAAGAGGCCTTCAAGATGCCCCAAGATACTCCCAAGACGCTCTCCAGGAGGCCCTCGAGAAGCCAAAAACAGCGCTCCATCTACAAATTTAACGCTTTCGCGTTCCACGCTCTTCGCTCGAGGATCAACCCAGTTGCAGTCTTCCACGGCCTAAGAGAGCTCAGTGAGAGAGCTCCCAGCTGGCCCGAGAGGGCCTCTGGAGAAACCCAATACGGTCTAATACTGCCCGAAGACGGCCCCAAGGCATCCCAAATAGATGCCCCAGGCGGCCACGAGGGCCCGATGACGGCCCAAGAGAATGCCATGGGGGCCCAAAGACGGCCCAAGAAGGGCCCAAAGGATCCCCAGGACTGCCCCACAGGAGCACGAGACAGCCCCCAAAGCGGCCCGCAGAAGCTCCACGGTAGCCCCCTCGAGACTAGGAGACGACAGGAGTCACACGTGACGGCCTTGCGGGTGGTGCTCGAAGCGCCCGCAAACAACCTCTGAGCTTCGCTGGCACGGCGGCGGTCGCCGGGGCATCCGCCCTCGCGAACAATTGTTCCAGTCGCGCTTGTGCTCGCTGGCTCACGGCAGGCAGCAGCTGGCGGGTCCCGAAAGCCCCCGAGCCCCAAAGAAGGTTGCCATCTCTTCGGGGCGCATCGTTTTCGTCCGCTGACTGCCGCCGAGCCTTCTTTTTCAGAGCACTGCGCCCAACAACCTTATGACGGGACGCTCCGTGGTGGGCACCAAACTGAAATCTACTGAAATCGGCGCATATAAAATACCCAATGTCAGACGGTGGGCCCCGAAGGGAGCCGCCGAGCCTCTGCCGGCTTCCGCCAACGAAGCCGCCCCCGTCCTACTTCCGCCGGCTTCCGCCGCCCTTCCGCCGTCCCTCCGCGGAGGGCGAGCTGGCACCTCGCTCGATCCTCGAGGACGAGGCCCTTCCTGGAGCGCCTCACGTGATGCGGCGCAGATATCGTCAGCGTTCGTGTTACCCTTGCTGCCGCGGGAGGGGGTGGGGGGCTGCGCCAGGGCGGCGAGGGCACAGGGCTCGCTGGGGACAGCGGTGGCCCTTGGTCTGGGTTGCGCGGTGAGCTCGCTGCAGGAATCAGATTGCCGCCCGCAGGAGGCTCCTGCCATGGCACAAGTTGCCAGATCCCCGAGCAGCCCCCTCGCTTCTGTACTCGTCTGCGGCGCCCGTGAATCCACGCTTCAACTCCACAGCGCCCAGACCAGGGCAGCAATTGGCACACCTGCTGCGGCCACGACAAAATAATCCAGATCATGATGGAAGCGAGTCTACCGGATTCTGAGAAAAAACCAGCGAACATCGGTTTGGGGGACCGAGACACATGCAGGTTCGGGTGCACGTATGCGTTCGTTGGGTATTAACTACGCTGCATGTAAATCGCGCCCTCAATCGAGGATTGCAGAACGCTTTCCGACTGATTTGCCCTGCCATCAGATCAGCGCTGCCGAAGTCCATCACCATGTTATTATTTGCTCTCGGCAGGCAATCGAGCAGCACCGCTGCGCGAAAGGCAGTTCGTTTCGAGCTTGTACCGCATGTGGATTGACATGGTTGGCTACTGAACACTATCTATGAACGGTTCATGTTGATTTTCCTCGAAAGTGTCACATCGACCCTGACACGCAAGAGTTCGACTGCACGACTTGCAAGGCTGCACTGGGGCCCTGGCAAAATTCGCCGGCCCAACGGGCCAGAGGCGTGCTAAGATCTCCGGTAACTGGTTAACAATTCTCTAGTTCGCGCGCGCGGGGCGGCCCCTGGGGGTCCACGGACGAAAAGTACCCCGGCAAGGTCCTGAGAGAGTCCCGGGAGGAGTCCCCCAGAGCGCTCCAGGAGCGCTCCATGAGCGCACCAACAGGGCTCCGAGACGTCCCCGAGAGCCCCAAGAAAGGCCAAGAGGCCCCCAAGAGGCCCCCAAGATGGTACACGAGGGGTCCGACATGCCACAAGATCGCTCCAAGACGCCCAAGATAGCCCCCAGACGCCCCAAGAGGCCTCCAAGAGCACTCCCAAGAGGGCCCCCGGAGGCAAAAATCATTGTTTTTCCTTAGGTTTTTGAGAGATTTTGGAGCTTCCACCTTTTCGGTTCCCGACGCCCCAAGACGGCCCCAGAGGCCCCCAAGATCGCCCCAAGAGGGCCCAAGAGGCCCCCAAGAGGGCCCCAAGATGGCCCAAGAGGGCTCGAAGACGGCCCAAGAAGCCTCCAAGACGGTCCAAGAGGGCCCCAAGAACACCCCCAGAGGGGCCCCAGAGAGGGAACACGAAACAAAATTTCGAGCCCTCGGCCCTAAGAAGCCCCTACGAGGCCCCAAGAGGCCCCTAAGAGGCCCCAAAAGGCCCCCACGAGGCCCTCAGGAGGCCCCCAAGAGTCCCCCAAGCGGCCCCAGGAGGCCCCCCAAATGCCCCCCCGAGCGCCCCAGGAGTCCCCCAAGCGGCCCCAGGAACCCCCAAAGCGCCGCATTGACACCAGGCCCTCGGGCAAACGGCAGACATGAGACCGTATGTGCCGGCGGAATGAGCGAAGCGATTAAATAACAGCAATTATGCAAAACAACATGTGGGGTAACGGCAAAAGTGAATGGAAGCACTGGTAAAACAGACCAGATGTTGCCACGAACCCCGACCTTGGAGGACAAGTGGGCATGACTTGCGAGAACGAGACAAACAAACAAGAGGATACATATGGAGCGCATTACGTTGGTCACCGTGGTGTCCGTTTGACGCTGTGACGCTTTGCCTGGACGTGTCCAGCCATCCTGGGACCCTCTTGGGCGCCTCTTGGGCACGTCCTGGGGTCTCTTGGGGGCTCCCTGGGGGCCTCTTGGACGCTTCTTGGGGCGTCATCGAAGCCTCTCGGGGGCTTTTTGGAGCCTCCTAAGAGTCTCTTTGGGCGGAAAGCTGGACATCTTGGTCCGTGTTCCTCTCTAGTGCTTCTCTTGGGGCGATGCTGCAGCCATCTTGGGCTTCTTATCGGTTTTCTTTCGCTGGCACGGCCAAGTGGCCCTTCCAGGTTATCAGAAACTCGGGCAGGTCGAGCTGGAAGTGCCTCAATGACGCTAACAGAGAGCTCCAATGCAAGCTTCGAGGTGCTCGGTATGGTCGCTATGCTACCCAGAAAAGCACCGAGAGAGGCCCATGAAGCTCCGAGAGCGCCCCAGGAGCGCCCCAAGGACAAGGAACCCCGAAAGCGTCCCAGGATGAAAAAGAATCGCGGTGTGGACATACCTGGAAGCCCGCGAGGGCAGCAGGAAACCAGAAATCACGGTCAACAGCGCCACGGAAGAGGCCGCTTTCTCAGAGGGCGAAGGGCTCCAAGAACGTCCCAAGAAGGGCCCTGGAGGCTCCCGAGAGGGCCCCAGGAGGGGTTTCAGAACAACCTCTGCAGGGTCTGACGGCGGCGTAAAAAGAATGCAACACATAGACATGCTGGGGTACATGGTGCCCCCCATTGGTTTCTGCATGGTTATGTTTTGCGCTTGCATAACGCCGCACTTCTTGTGTAAGCGCGTGTCAAGTCACGCTTGTCATTGCCGAGCGTGTGTCCTACAAATATGTATGTCCGTGTCTGAGGTATGCTTCGGTCATGGTTTCGTTATGTCTTAATTGCGTCTTGGCTATGTCTCATGCATGTCTCGATTTTGAGGGGGGCTCAGGCCGTGAGTATGGTTTGAGTGTATCGAGCCGCGCTTGCCATTTCTAAGGTGCGTCCTGAACATGTTTTTATTTATGTGTATGAACTATATTCAAAATATGGCTCATGTATGTCTTAAGTACGTCTTGCGTATGTCGTTGGCACGTCTCGATTATGTGTGGTTCATGCCGTACTTATGGTTGAAACATGCATCAAGTTACGCTTACCATTGTCTAGCGTGTGTCCTATATACGTTGTTCTGACACGACTTGTGTTTCTTCGTTATGCCTGAACGATGTAAATATAAGTAATCAATATTGTGGGATACATGTCGTACCTATATTCAAATGAGTACCTCGTCACGCGTTTCAGTGCCTACCATGTGTCCTAAATCTGGATGTCTGTGATGTGGGACCCACTCCGTACTTATGGGTTAAACCTGCTTCAAATAGCGCTTCCCATTGCACGTTTCTTGGGGCCTCTTGGGGGCCTCTTGGGGGCCTCTGGGGGCCTCCTTGGAAGATTCTTTGGGCGGAGAAGCCGAGCGTCGGTCCCTGCACCCCCTCTGGGGCCCCTCCTTGAGGCGTTCCTGGGGCCATCTGGGGCCGTCGTCGCTCTTGGGCCGTCTTGGGCCGTCTTGGGCCGCCTGGGCCATCTTGGACGATCTGGACCGATCAATCGGCGATTCTCGGCCCTCTTGGACAATTTAAAGACCATCTTGGGGCCGCCCATTTCGCCCAAAAACGCGTCTGCCAAATTGCGGCCGTCTTGCGCTAGACTTCCGCCGGGTTCTGCCAGCGTTCCGCCCGTGGCTGGGGCCATGTGCCTGGGGGTGCCCCCCCAGACTCCCCCATGGGAACACACAAAAGGACCCCTCCGCAAGGTCGGGGAAAAAATGTGAAAAGGGGGAAAGACGCGGATGATGACGATGACAGGCAGGCAGGGGACCTGCCATACCAGGTCTCATCTGTCGATCCGAGATGGTGGCGGTCTTCTGCATCTGCTTCGCATCAACCTTGCACAGGTTGACGTTGCCTTATGAGACTGGGTGCCACTTCGCGCGCATCCCTCCCTCAAAATTTCGATCAGCTCCACTCCTCCACTCCACAACCTCCCCTCCTTGAGACGTAGTGGGTATCACTTTGACAACAGACGTCGGTGCCTTGTTCGGTGCCGTAGAGCATGAGCATAGGATCACCACTCTTCCGGGTCTCCGGGTCAGGATCGCTCGAGATCAATGTTTCTGCCGCCGCCTGCGCCATTCAGACATGCGGAAAACCATGAGAAAACCACGTCATGTATCATCTAAGATATACCACCGCGCATACGACACGTTGCGGCGTTTTCTGCTAGCAAGCCAGTGAGCTCTCTTGTAGGGGCTATGTCGCTTGCCAGGGGCGCCCCCCCTCGCAACACAAATGCACAGACGCCCCCCCCCGACGTTTGGTCCCCTGTGCTCTCTCGGCCCAAGAGGAAACAAACCAGACGGTTGAAGACCGTCCCAAGACGACTGCAAGAGATCTTGGGACCAGCCGGATTCCAGAGGGCCCACAAAGCCCCCCGAGGCACAACAATGCTACAAGAGGTCCTGCCCACGCAAGCCCCCATTAGGTTTGCAAGAAGCGCCTCCAGCAAGGCCCTTTGAGGTCCTGGGAGGCCGAAACAGGGGCCCGATGCAAATCACCTAGCATTGGTCAAGATGAAGCCGGGAGGCCCTCAGAGAGCCAAAAGAACTGTCCCCAAGAAGCCCCAAGAGGCTCCCAGGGCAGCCCCACGATGGCCCCCACAGCCCACCGGGGCGGCCAGGGACCGCCCACATGCAGCACTGCTGAGGCTCCGTGGGTGAGCTCGGCAAACTCATCGGGCCCAAGACGGCCCAAAGGCGCCCCAGGAGGCCCTCCGGAAGCCCTCCAGAGGCCACCGAGAGGGCTCCAGAACCTCCCAAAAGGGACACCACGTAAGCATAGCAGCGAAACTCTGTACAATCGTAAAGCTATTTCTCTGCTGGCCCGACGGTGATTATACCGAGCCTGTTCGGAACGGCTTGGTAGAACCGTCCTGCATGCGTTCTAGTGCCAGCATGGCACGATTGCGGGATTTGCCGCCTCGGCTTGGTAAGGGGCACTGTTTCGACAAGGTATAGCGCAACAGCTGGACTTGGCGAGATATGGCCCAAGATGGCTTCAAGAAGGCCCCAGATAGTCCAAGATGGCCTCTAATACGGCACAATATATACCACAATGGTTCAAGGTGGCCTCCAGGATGCCTCCACGAGGCCCCAGGACAGACCGAAGACAAGACGGCTCCAAGTGGCCACAGAGCCTCCTAGAGACTCCATGAGGGGTCAAAATCATTCAAACACACATATGTGTGTTCATTGTTTGAGGCTCAACCACGTCTTTCTATTCAAGATTGTCGGACGCTCCGGTTCACTTTCTGCTATCGGTACGCCTTCTCCCAGCAGCTCGCCTGGGCATCGTTGCTGGATGGCCTGATGGTGATATGCGCAGCGTCAAAGATTCCTTACTGTCGGAGGCAATCTTCCGACACGCGACGTATGCAGCTGAGAAGGCGACACCACAATAACACATAGAAGCGCATGTCGTGTGCAACGGTATTGATGTGGATTGGTCCTCGTCGCATCGCTATTCCAATGACCTGGTGTGCGCACTTGGTGTGCTTGTATTCGCTGTGAAATGCAGCGACATGCTGTACAATGACATTGCATGGTGTTGCAACGCATCGCCTTTATATGATATGATGTGTTTTACGCTGTGCTGGACTCTGTTGCACTTGCGTTGGTATGACATGCCTGGCGGTTTTGTGCTGTGCCGCGTAACGCGTCGCAACTGCACTGTGCACTACATTGCGTTGCACCTGGCTTTTGCAATACAACGGAATTCACATGAAGAGTGAATCTCTCAGCCGTTCATTGCACGGCATTGCGCTGCAAAGCAATGCAAATCAGCAACATCATAGCAAAACAACACAGCAATCCAACTCTTTCACATTTAGCCATTCGAAAGAGGGGTATCCAGGGAGACACACAGGGGCAGCCAATATCCTGATCCTTTCCAATTAGCTCGTGACGCGGACCATACACTTCCCAGGCAGTACTGCGCCTGGGGCTACAGAAACACCCAACACGATGAGATGATCACGTATTGAAAACCAAAGGTTGCCCCAACAATGCTGCATAGCGGGTAGACGCCAAGTCGAGGATCATGTTCGATCAGCCCAGCATCTCTTCTGCGCGACCATGCCTTTTACCGTCAGGTGGGATCCGCGGAACTCCTGGGCACTGCCATCCAGAAAGGCAAAGGCAGCAGGAGAAAAGAAACAGTTCTTCTTCAGATTCTGGGAAGTTTACTTGCCTGCAGGTGGGGGGTGGGGCGTGGCCAGGCTCACAAGGAAATCTGCACTCCACGCAAGTCGAGATTCCTTTGCACGCATGTTCGGCCGAGCGCTGCCTGAAAAGGCGGGCGAGGGGCGGTTGGGGATGCCATGCGTATAAACCTGCCTGAGTCAAGACAACAGGCACGAAAGAAAACTCACCTGTAGAAGCCCAGCGCGGAAGCAGGGCCCTCGACGCCAAACTCGTGATAGAGGCTGGGACCGTTGTAGATCCGTATGAACTTGTCCTGGCAAGCAACGATTGCGCTCAACATGTCCCCTGGGGCAACGGGCGCACACAGCAAGTCGTTGATGCGGTCTTTGACGGAGCAAGAGCCGCAATCTGCACACTGGTCGTAAATGTTCATGATGTACTCCCCGCCTGTCCAGATCACATTCTCGTGCACAAAGAGGTGGTTGATCGTCTCCGCCAGGTTTGTCTGGATCTTTACGAACTCTTTGCCCTTGCGTGTGTAGCCATGAATGGACTGACCGCAGCCAACGAAAAGCCTGTCCTTGCCCAGCTGAAGGACCACAGATGCTATCTCCCTGTCGCCGACTGCCTGTTTCCACTCCGTCTGCACCTCTCGGTTACACGCAAGAATGACCCTAGGCAAGAGTGACCTTTGGGGTGCGGCAAGCGCGCAAGCCGCATGTACCGCTTCGGGCTCAGCGATCGGGGGACGCAGTTGGGCCCGCATTAAAGGTCACCAAACGAAGAATCATTCTTACGTCTAGTCGAACCTCGCCCCTCTTCATGTAGAACACGTGTAGGGAGCCGGTGTCGTCACCGACCGCGATCTTCTGCTGCTTCTTCTTGCCCTGCGGCAGCACGCAGAGCGTGCCCTGTGCCAGGGCACCCGCATGCAGCAAGTCCACCCGGTGCAGCACCTGAGCGGAGGCAAACAGAAGAGGAGGAGCGCCATCACCTGAGATCGCCGGTCGAACGCCCTAGAGGACGACAGATCGAGAAAAAAATCCCCCCCAGCCCTCGAAATTGCAATATGATGCTACTCTCTCCACCGCAGACGTGCTGAGAGTGGCTCCGCGTACATTTTAGGCGCACAGGATTTGTCCGAGTTGTTTGTCTCAGGTGTGTTTGCCATCCAGACGGAGTCGGTCCTTCCAGAATTGTGCTCCAGCTGCAGCGTGGCGCTCATTGCAAGATCGGCGCTCTGCGCCCGTCGTTCAGATGGAGCTCTCGACCCAGCGCGGGCCACTTTTCTGGATCCGAATCCTTCCTCCTCGTTGTCGCCTCCCTCATTCCCCATGCACCGCCTTGTCCTGGGCCTCCTGCTCCTCCCGCTCCTGCCACTCCAGCTCCTGCTGCTGCCCTTCGTCCTCGTCCTTCTCCTTCATCATTCTCATCCTTTCCCTCCTGCTCATCCTCCTGCTCATCCGCCTCCTCGTCATCCAATGTATGCAGCTCCACGTGTCCGACTGCGCGTAACACTATGATATCATTATTGGAAATACAGGTCCGCTATGACACGCGTCGGTGGATAGAGAATCAATCAGCGCAAGTGGAAGGGATGTGAGGACGGGTTGGATGTAGACACCTAGCTTGCCGTCACCCCTCTCTTCTCACCCTTGTCCCCCCTCGCATTCCCTACTGCTCCCCCTTCTCCTCGCATGGGCAAGATAAGGGGAGGCGGCGAGGGGGAGGACGAGGAGGAGGACGAGGAGGAGAAAGAGGAGGAGGCCCCTTCCGAAGTTGGGAGTACCAAGGCCGCTTGGAGATAGCTGGTCCAGCTCCGAATGCGTACATATCCACCGCCTGGGAATCCCATGTGTAAGATCCCCAGAGGCAGTGGATAAGGAAGATACCGTTGGCCCCCCGCGGAGCATCAGAATTTCCATTTCCGCTGCCGCCCGAGGTCCTGGGACGTCGGTTCCCAGGACCCTGGCCTCGGTCCAGTAGCCCGCCCTTCCCGAAGACCTCGCAGGACGGTCTGTAATTTGATGGCTTGGGGACACGAGCAGGCGCCAGGGCGCTCGACACACCCCCCGAGGATTGCCTCAGGCCCAAAGCAGCCCTCCCTGCCAGAGCCACATTCTGGTCACTCCTGGATGATCCAACTTCGCGCATCACGTCGCGCCAACTGCGATGCACGGCTTCCTTCGCGCCCTCACGCGGCCATCCCTGGAAAAGAAAGGCAGCTTTCCAGCCCAGGCCGCTAGGCAACGCTAGGCGCGAGGCACACTTATCCTCGCGCACCTGCGGGCGATGGCATCTGGTCACCAGGCGGCGTGCGCTGCGAACCTATATGAGGCCCCAGGGTTCCGATTCTGGGCTCGTTCGGCGCCTGAGCCCATTCAGCCGCTGTCGAGGTTGCGCCTATTGGGCCTCTGAAATGTGGTCAAACAGGCTCAGAAGCCCACACTGGTCGGCACAGGAGTCTGTGACTTAAAGGCGCTGTGCTATGCTGAGGTTGAAGCTGACGCTAACGCTGGCGCTAACGACAACGCTAACGCCATTATATAATGATCTGTATTGCGATGTGCTGCGGCAGGCTATGTTGTGCCATGCTGTGCCGTGCTGCGACATGCTGTGTAAGGCTGCGCTGCGCTCTGCTATGACCTGATGCGCTACGCCATGCTACGCGCTGCTGATTTGCTTGCCATGTTTGGCAACACAAAGCTATGATGTGCCGCGTTCTGCAATCATGTGATGAGCTCAGCGGTGCAGTGGTATGCTATGAATTTGAACTGTTCCAATTGTGATACGCTGCGCTATGTAACCCTGGCTGTACAGCACAATGCTAGCCTAAATTCCGATGCAATAGCATGCCCGATCATATCCCGTGTGGCCCCGCGCAACGGTGCACGAAGCTATGCTTCGCCATGCTATGATATGCCGTGGCAGCGTGCACGCTGCCCATCGCTACTGGGCCATCGAAAGAGTCGGCCTCCGAAGCAATCCGAGGCCTGGCCGCCTGGCCGACACCGCCCCCCCGGGGGCGTCTGTGGGGCTGCGCTCTGCAGCACGGCATCCGAAAAGGGGGACTCCGGCCGTGGCGGCGAGCCGCTTCCGGGAGCCCCGGAAGAGGAGGAGAAGAGAAGACCTGGAGCCCCGTGCTCGGATAAGTTAATAAGGGCGGAAGGGGGGGGACAGCAAAGGGGGGGTCTGAGAATCAGCTCGCGTGGCCGATTTTCCCGGCGCCTCCGGGCGCCAGAGGCGGCTATAGGTATCGAGGAATGGGGACGAAATCAGCTGCACGCCGCAAATTTCGCACCCCCCCCTTTCCCAATCCCCCCCTTTCGTCCGGCCCGACGTTCCCCCGCCCAGGAAGGAGCCCGCCGGGGGCACAAACTTCTTCACTGCGTGGAGCTCCCCATATGTGCATCTACTCGCATGGACCTGTCTGCCTTGTCTAGGCGCAAGAGTTTTCGAATATACGCGGCCTTGAGTTGTGACGGTCTGGTCATGAATCCAACTGCGAATGAACTGGAGTGTGAATGAGTCTCAGTTGTATGAGCGCGTCTCTGAGCATGAGCCTGGGGCCTCCTGGGGCCTCCTGAAATCTTCTGGGGCTTCCTGGGGCCTCCAGGAGCCTCTTTGAACCTCCTGGGGCCTCCTGGGGCCACTGGAAGCCTCCTGGGGCCTCATGAGGCTTCGAGTGGCCTTCTGAGGCCTCCTGGAGCCTCGCGTGGCCTCCTGGAGCCTCCTAGAGCCTCCTGGGACCTCCTAGGGAGGATTCGTGCCCCAGGAGAAGCCAAATCTACGGGAACAGACGTCCATAGAACATTGCGGATTGGAGCCACAGGAGAAGGGCAATCTATAGAAACACGCGTAAAACAGCAAGGATGCGTGCCCCAGGGGAGGCCCAATCTATAGGAACATACGCAGAACATTTGGGATTTTATACACAGGAGAAAGACAATCTACAGAACTATACGTATAACATCAAAGATTCGTGCTCCAAGTGAGGCCCTATCTATAGGAGCATACGTAAAACACATGGGATTGGAGCTACTCCTGTTGCCTTCTGAGGCCGCCTGCTCCTGGGGCCTCTCGGGGCCTCCTGTTGCCTTCCGGGGCCTCCTGGCGCTTCATGTGGCCTCCTGGGGCCTCCTGTGGCTTCCTCAGGCCTTCTGGAGCTTCCTGGGGCCTCCTGGAGCCTCTTGGGAAATCCTGTGGCCTCTTGAGTCTTCCTGTGGCCTCCTGGGACCTCATGTGGCCTCCTGGGGCCTCCTGGAGACTGCTGGAGCCTCCTGTGCCATCCTGGGGAGAATCTGTGCCCACGAGCCTGGCCACCAAAACAGGCAAACCGATCGAGACATCCTCAACATCTGGCGCCCATGGGGGGCGAGAATGAGCGCCTCACTCGAGACATCCTCCAAATCTGCTCCGAAAGCGGAGGATGTTGAGCATGCAAACAGGCAAACCGCTCGAGACATCGCCGCCGTTTGGGCGCGAACGGAGGCCGTGCAATACCCCTGGCGGCCCCCCTTAGGAGGCGCCTCGCACGAGACATCCTCAAAACCTGCTCCGAAAACTGAGAATGTTGAGCATGCAAACAGGCAAACCGCTCGAGACCTTCCCGCCACTTTGGCGCGAAAGGAGGCCGTGCAATACCCCTGGCCGCTCCCCTCTAGGAGTGCTAAAACCAGCAAGCCGCTCGAGACATCCTCATGATCTGCTCATCGTCATCGTCATCGTCATCGTCATTGTCATCGTCATCATCATCATCATCATCATCATCATCATCATCATCATCATCATCATCATCATCATCAACAGCATCAGCAGCAACAGCATCATCATACTCATCCATCATTCACCACCACCATCATACTCACACCAGACTCTCACCACAATCACCATCACTGTCTAGTGCAGAGAGGAAGGAGGGAAGGGAGAGGTGCGGCGCGGCCAGAGCAGAACAAGATCCCACTCCTCCTTGGACATGGGGAGCAGATGAACAGACACGACTCCCAGGATCCCCCAGCTCCCCGCATGTTCTGCAGCTTCGGGTTCGTCGTCCCCCCCACTTCTCGATATCTCCCCATCGGATCCTCGGAAGCGACGGCCCTTGGTGCCTGTGCGTGCTGCCCCCTCCAGAGCCCAGGGAGCCCCGCTGCGGCCGCCCACCGAGCACACGAGGGCTCCACGAGGGCTCCGCAGGACGGCAGCCGTCGGCGAGGCCTTCCCGCCTTCACCCCCTGGGCCTCGAGAGCTTCGACGCTCGACCCTCGCTGTGGCGGCCGGCTGGGCGCAGGTGCTTCCGAGGAGTGGGGTCTTCCACAATCTCCGACTGCCCTTCAGGGAGTGGGGCTCCTCCTCCTCCTCCTCCTCCTCCTCCTCCTCCTCCTCCTCCTCCTCCTCCTCCTCCTCCTCCTCCTCCCTCTCCCTGCTCCCTCGCCCCAAGTCTGGAAGTGTTCGCTTCGTCGTTCAGCGAGCCCCGAGCATCGACCCTCGAGGACCTCGAATCTCGAGCCTCGACCCTCGAGCCTCCACCCCCGACCCACGTTCATCGAACCTCGAAGCTGGACCCTCGACCCTCGAACCTCGACCCTCGAGCCTCGAACCTCGACTCCCGACTTTCGGCTCCCCCCCTCAGGAGCCAAACCGAAACAGCCACAACCGCTGGGCTGCGGGAATCGACATCGGTGCCCCCCCGCGGCGGGTCGGGATCGGCCGGAGGGGGGCGGGGGAGGACTCGGGTTGGCCTGACGGGGCCGTCAGGAAAATGATGGGACCCAGTCTGAAACACGACGCGAGCTCCCGCTGCAAGCATCCCACGAAGACTGGACCG